TCTCTGACCTCACTTCCCCATCCCTAGCCATGTTTTTTTTCTTTGTACCATTTTATTCTCTCTGACCCTCCTTGGATTGGTTGACTTGATCTTCCTTTTTCTTTAATTCTGAGTCTCTCACTTTCTGTCTTGTTCAAAATTTTCTGCATATTTCTATTATCTATGTATCCGTTATCTATCTGTCTATCTATCTATCTATCTATCTATCTATCTATCTATCTATCTATCGTCTATTTAACTATTTGGTGTGTATCTACAAATTATTTATCTATCTATCATCTATATATATGTATCATCTCTCTATCAATTAACTATCTATGTATCCATCAATCAGCTATTATCTATATCTATGTATCCTCTCTCTCTCTCTCTGTTACCTGTCTGCCTCTCTATCTCTATGTATCATGTATCTATCTCTTTGTCTATTTATCATCATCATTATCATCTCTATGTATCATCTACCAATCAGTCATCATGTATGTATCTATAACCTATCTATTATCTATCATCTACGTATTTATCATCTATCTATCCATCTGCATCTCTCTGTCTCCATCTCCTTGTCTTTCTCTGCCTCTCAGTCTGTCTCGTTGTCTTTGAAATATCTGCAATTCATCCCCCACATCTCCATCTTTCTCTCTCCTTGTGCCTCTCCCTCAGGACTCTGATTTTAGGGCTTTTCTCAGCTCCCTTCCATCATTCTCTCCACTTCTCTGCCCTCTTTTCTCTCTCTCTCTTTTTAAAAATTATACTTTAAGTTCTGGGTTACATGTGCAGAACGTGCAGTTTTGTTACATCGGTATACATGTGCACTGGTGGTTTGCTTCACCCAACAACCCGTCACCGTCACCTACATTAGGTATTTCTCCTACTGTTATCCATTCCCTAGCCCCTCACCCCCTGACAGGCCCTGGTATGTGATGTTCCCCTCCCTGTGTCCATGTGTTGTCATTCTTCAAGTCCCACTTATGAGCGAGAACATGCAGTGTTTGGTTTTCTGATATACCTAAAGGATTATAAATCATTCTACAATAAAGACACACGCACACATATGTTTATGTCGGCACTATTCAAAATAGCAAAGACTTGGAACCAACCCAAATGTCCATCAACGAGAGACTGGATTAACAAAATGTGGCACATATACACCATGGAATACTATGCGGCCATAAAAAGGATGAGTTCACGTCCTTTGCAGGGACATGGATGAAGCTGGAAACCATCATCCTCGTTTCTCTGTCTTTATGTGGCTGTGAGCTTGTCAGTCTCCTTCCTCTGGCTCATTCTCTGTGTGTTTATGCCTTTGCTTTTTAATGTCCCTGATTTCTCTCTGTGTCTGTCAGGAATCCTATCATATGTGTGGTTGTTTGGAATATGAGCCTCAGAATCCAGTCTGGAGACCCCAAGTACACACAGCACACAGGGGTTGGTGTTCTGGGGCCACGATATCGTGAGAAGGTTACGGCTCCCCTGAACACGAGGCAGAGGTGTCAGAATCAACACGGCATCTGTAGGTGCCACAAGGCCTGAGGTCCCAGGGCCCAACTAAGGTGAGAAATAAGGGTGCTCTTGGGTTCTCCTGGTAGAGATCACTCTGTGGAGGTAACACAGAGATGAAGCTTCTAACCTGTGCCAGGTCTCTGAACAAAGTCAGCACGGAAGGGCACCTCTCTCTGGGACGTGTCTGTCTGTCTGAGTGTCTCCTTTACTTCTTTCTCTCTTTTCTAACTCCCTGTGTGGCCCCTGTGTCTGTCCTCTGTTATGACACCTGGTCTGTACTTGTGCCTCCTGTTTCTCTGTCTCTGTTGGTACAGACCTCGCCAAGTGAGTCTCTCTCCATAAGAATCCCACACTCATCTCCCTCACGACCACCTGGGGCTTCCAAGTCCTGGATCATTCACTCTGTGTCCCAGTGACAATGAGAAGAATGTCTGGACACTCTCACCTGTGATCACGATGTCCAGGGGGTCACTGGGGACTGACCATTCATAGGGGGAGTGAGTAAAAGAACCATAGCATCTGTAGGTCCCTGCAAGGGCAGGCGTCATGGGACCCATGGAGATGTTGGCCTTGGAGCCCCCATCATGGAGCTCTCCAACGAGGCATAGGGGTCCTCAGAGATCCCCTCTCTGTGCAGAAAGAAGTGCTCAAACACGGTATCTGACCAACATTGCAGGACGACCGTCTCTCCTGATTTCACCAGCGGACCTGGGAGGGCCAGGAGGGAAGGTTTTCTGTGGACTCCTAGAAAGAGAGGTTGTGAGTTTAGAAGGCGTTTCTCTTTGTCATCCCATCCATGGGACCTGGAATCAGTGAGGCTTCCCCTCCCCGGGTCTGTCTCTCTCCTCCTCTGTGTCTCCGAGTTCTTTTCTGTGCCCATAACCCCTGTTGCAGGTGTCATGTTATGTGGCGCTCTGCCCATGCAGTTGACATGCCGACCACATCATGGGAGGGTGACGTATGCAGGCTGTTTCTACGTTACATGATGCCCAGCGGGCCTCCAGCCAAGAGCAGAAAATGGCTTCCTGGAAATTGTTGTGACCACCTTGCGTCATTCACTATGACCAGCTCAAAACACGTCTCAGATCCGATCTTTCGAACACAAGATGATTGAATTCTGGGTTACATTAAAGACTTTTGATGTGCTTTTGTTGTTTTTATCTGAGATTCAAACTCTTCTTCATGAGTAATATGCAAAATATCTAACAAGTATTTTTTTTTTTTTGAGACGGAGTCTCACTCAAGTATTATTAACATTATCAGAACAATTGTGACAAAAAGTCATTCTAATTTTCCTGCTTGAGTTTCTTGTACTAAACCAGTGACACAAGAAGTGCTTGAATCTGGGAGGCGGAGGTTGCAGTGAGCTGAGCTCGTACCACTGAACTCCAGCTTGGGTGACAGAGGAAGAGTCTGTCTCAAGAAAGAAAGAAAGAAAGAAAGAAAAAAAGGAAACTAAATAACCTATAACAACAAACAGATGACTCAGGTTACCACATTTTAAGGGGTTCTCCAAGGTTATATAAAGTACAGCATCCTCATGAGAGGGGATACAGAGAACCACGGGGCAGAAAATTGTGTCTAAAATACATCCGTGGACACACAGCTCCTTTATAGTTGACAAAGGCTGCCATGTGGTTTAAGGTGGAATAGAATATTTTTTCAACAAATAACACAGGACCACAGGGTTACAAGTAGGAAAAAATAAATCTGAACTTATCTTCACATTATAAGAACACTTCTTATATTTTATCTTGTTGTTATACTTTTTTTATGCTTTATTTATTTATTTTTTTTTGAGACGGAGTCTCGCTCTGTGGCCCAGGCTGGAGTGCAGTGGCCCGATCTCAGCTCACTGCAAGCTCTGCCTCCCAAGTTTATGCCATTCTCCTGCCTCAGCCTCCCGAGTAGCTGAGACTACAGGCACCCACCACCTCGCCCGGCTAGTTTTCTGTAATTTTTTTTAGTAGAGACGGGGTTTCACCATGTTAGCCAGGATGGTCTCGATCTCCTGACCTTGTGATCCACCCATCTCGGCCTCCCAGAGTGCTGGGATTACAGGCTTGAGCCACCGCACCCAGTCTTTTATGCTTTATTTTTAAAATTGGCAAATAAAAATTATATACAGTCGTCCTTCACTATTCCTGGGTGATTGGTTCCAGGATCCCCATTCAGATGCCAAAATCTGCAGATGCTCAAGCCTCTTGCATGAAATGGCACAGTGAAGCTGGGCGTGGTGGCTCGCGCCTGTAATCCCAACACTTTGGGAGGCTGAGTTGGGTGGATCATGCGATCAGGAGTTCGAGAACAGCCTGCTCAACATAGTGAAACCCAGTCTCTGCTAAAAATACAAAGAAAAAAAATTTATCTGTGCATGGTGGCACGTGCCTGTAATCCTAGCTACTGGGGAGGCTGAGGCAAGAGAATCACTTGAACCTGGGAGGCAGAAGTTGCAGTGAGCTGAGATCGTGCCACTGCACTCCAGCCTGGGTGAGAGAGTGAGACTCCGAAAAACAAACAAACAAACAAAACAAAACAAAACAAAAAAGGCATAGCAATTGCATATAACCCATGCACACCCTCATGTATACATGAAATCATCTCTAGATTATTTATAATTCCTGACACAGCATACATACCACTCCATTTGTGTCCATTCAACATAGTTTTGCTTTTGAAACTTTGTATATTTTCTCTGAATATTTTTGATTTATAGTTGGTTTAATAAACACCTGTAAACCCCACAGATCTAGAGGAGCGACTGTGTATTTATGGTATGAAAGATGATGTGTGGACATGTGTCCCCATGGAGATGAGACTAACAAGGCCTATGACTCTACAAATGTTTCATCTTGGAATGGCTCTGCCAGCTTTCCAGGTCTGCAGAGAGTAAGAATATCACTTGTTCATCTGATTCACGATCCTTGCAACCTCCTATGTGCTGCATTTTTGGATGAAATTGGAGTCCTGGAGACGAATCAGGCTCCACCTGCTTCCAGAAGCTCAGAGTCCAGGGGTGAGAACCCAGTGGAGAACAGATGGGGTTACATGGACATAGTAATGATAACACCGGAAACTTTCGGCAAGAAAAGAGTCACATTACTGAAACCATGAGGGTAGACATGTTTATTTGAAGAAGAGGCAACTACATTGAAATTATTTTTAAAAATTTGTAAGTTTTACTGCTGACAGAAGGCTGAAAGATAGTCTGAGGGGAGGTGGAACAGCATGAGGGAAGGTGGAACAGCACATGTCTAAGTGCCGTGTTAAGAGGGAGCCTCTCGTATGTTTGGAATTGTGAGTTCCTTGGTGTGACTGCAGCCTCCAGTAGGACTAGGAAGTAAGCCAGTAGGTTGGAGAGGTGGGCAGGGGTCAAGTGAAGTGGAGAATTGTGGGCTAAGCAAAGGAGTGTGTTTTCTCTGCAGCAGGCAGTGGGGACCTTAGACATTTGTAAGCGAGAGAGAGGCACGTTCAGATTCGTGGTGTGAGGAAGAGCAATGCCCTAAGATGCAGACTCACAGCTTCAGATTCCTGCTGCTGGTACATTGGAACTGGCAAGCTGGGTTTGAGACAGGGCTGTTGTCTCCCTGGAGGACCCCCTCAAGGCCTGACTGTGGTCAACTTTCGATCTGGGCTCAGCATCTGGAAGCTCTATGTACACGCTGGTATCTGTTGGGGGTCTCTTGGACCTCTGAGAAGGGCGAGTGATTTTTCCCTGTGTGAAAACGCAGTGATCCAACTGTGCGTATGTCACCTCCTGAGGGTCTTGTTCATCAGAGTCCTGGAGAGAGGGAAATGTTGAGTGAGGGAGGGGCTCACATTCTTCAGGACTATTAGGGAATAAGACTATATCCATGAGGCTGGACCGAGGAGGACCTACCTCCGGATTCACTGTTCTTTCCACTCCAGGCTCTTGGTCCATTACAGCAGCATCTGTAGGAGACAAAAGTCATCAAAACAGCTGAGAGGGCACGTCTGGGTCCTCATTTCATGTGCAGAGCCCAACACACAGGGGGAGGCCGTAGGTGCCTGAGGTCCCTCAGCTGCCAACAGCCAGACTCAGACATTCTATCTCTCTTAGTTCAAGGACCCATCCCATAAATAGCTCTCAATTTCCATCCCATTGATTCTGTCTCCCACTTTCTGCCTGTCATGGAACCTTCTCCTGGATGTCAGTGGCTGCAGGGACATGAGGATACAGTTGAGAATCAGGCAATGGTCTGTGAGCTGAAGGCAGGGACAGGGCGTCTGGTGCTCTCTCTAGAAATCCCTGCCTCTGTGGCTCCTGCCTTGGGCCAGAGACCATCCTGCCAGTGAGAAACACACACCTGCGTGCTCCCATCCCGCTTCCCCACTTGGCCCTGAGGTCTGTGGCCTCTGCTTCGTGAGACTTACCCTTTTCATTGGAGCACCAGCGATGCAGGAGAAAGAAGAAGAGGATGGTGAAGAGAATCATGACCACTGAGGACACAATCAGAACATGCAGGTGTCTGGGGATACCTGGAGGAAGACGAGGCACCAACAAGAAGCTAATCACAGCAGTTCCTCTCTATGGATTGTCTCGCATTTCTTGATTGACAGGTAGCCATATACAACGTCTCTTTAGGACGTGCACCCACATGGTGGGAGACCCAGGTTTCTCCTGCTTTCTCAGTTATAGCTCTCATAGTAACCATAGAATGTGCTGAATATACAACTGCTTTAGTTTAGATGCTTGACCCCTTCAAACAGCACATTGAAATTTAACCCCCAATGTGGGAGGTTGGGGCTATTGGGACGTATTTGGGTCATGGAGGTGGATCCATCATGCATAGATTAATGCTGTCCCATACGACGGGGTTAGCAAGTTCTCCCTCTATTAGTTCCTGGAGAATTGGTTTTTAAACAGAGCTTGGAAGCTCCATCGCTCCCCCTCCCCCTTGCTCCCTCTCTTGCCGTGTGATCTCTCTGGTCTCTGCACACAGAGACCCTCCTTCCCTTCTGCCAGAGTGGGAGCAGACTGAGGTCATTACAAGAAATAGATGCTGGTGCCATGCTTCTAGTACAGCCTGCAGAACTGTGAGGCAAATAAATCGCTTATCTTTAGAAGTTACCCAAGCTCAAGTGTTCTTTTATAGCAACAAAAATGGACTAAGACATTAGCATCGTGAAATCAGGAGGAACGTCCCAGAACGGCCTGGGCTGTCTTCTTGTTCTTCCCAGAGGAGGACGTCATGCAGTGCTTTAGCTCAGTGCTTCCTGTGGCTCCAGGGTACAAAACCCAGGCTGGGCTGTCTTCCTGTTCTTCCCAGAGGAGGACGCCATGCAGTGCTTTAGCTCAGTGCTTCCTGTGGCTCCAGGGTACAAAACCCAGGCTGGGCTGATTCTCGGGTTCCCCCAGATACACTGCATATGGGGTGATTCTATATGTCCTGAGCAGCTTTTCTGAGCCTTGGGGGACTGGCTCACATAGAAATAAATGCTTCAGTTGTCACTTGCTGCTTTTGTGTTAGTAATGAACCTGCTTATGTCACATATTCTCTGTGTGTTCTGTCTCCCTGGAGTGATGGTGAGTGATAGGAATTGGCATAGCCCCAGGTGCAGTACAGGAGGTGTTTAGAGTCTTCTCTGGGAAGACTGAACTGGGATTCATGCACAGTGAATGTGCTTTAGGATTTCTACATGCACAGCACTCCTGACTCAAACAACTTACATTCTCCAAGAAAAGGAAAGAAAAGTGAAATCAAGATCAAAAACACGAAGCAGAATTCTCTTATGTCAAACAGCCAGGAAATAGCGTTGAAGCCCGTTGGAAACGTGCTACTCTTTGTGATCTCGGGAGTCATATATTAGGTTGCTGTTCTACACGAGAAGCTGGGGGAAGGACAATGCCCTCCACCATCTATTGCTTCAATACAACCTGTCCTTCCGTGGATTAGTAGGAAAGGGGACCAGGAGCTAGTGCTGGTGCTGATCTCTGATTCCAAGATCTGAACTCACTGCAAGTAGTATTAGTGTTTACCTCCCCATGGTCTATCTGAATCTCCACAGGTGATTGGAAGTAGGGGTAAGGTGGGGGATTTGGGTGAGGGGGCCAGCATTTTGCGATGAGCAGAGCACTTCCTCTATTCCAGGACCTGTGCTGGTGGGATCAGGGAGTTTTCATATTTTCTATATTATTTCACGCTCACAGAAAGCAAATGGGGAAGAGGTTTTAGGCTGATTGCCTAATGGATAAGATAAACGATCAAAGAAGTAATTATAGAGAAATAGGAAAATGATGATGGTAATCCAGGTGCCATTGTCATTCATGTGTGTTACATTATATTTATGCATTTCTTATTTTTATTATTTGAGACGGAGTCTCCTTGAGTCACCCAGGTTGGAGTGCAGTGATGTGATCTCGACTCACTGCAACCTCCACCTCCTGGGTTGAAGTCATTCTCCTGCTTCCTCCTCCAGAGTAGGAGCTGGGATTACAGGCATGCACCACCATGCTCAGCTAATATTTGTATTTTTATTAGAGATAGGGTTTCACCATGTTGGCCAGGCTGGTCTTGAACTCCTGACTTCATGGAATCCACCTGCCTTGGCCTCCTGCAGTGCTGGGTTAGAGGCATGAGCAACCGTTCACAGTCTTGTATATTATGTTGTAATTAGGTCCCTTCATTTCTACCACCCCTCATCTATCTGTCACTCCTCTGCCAGGTATTGATTTACATGCAGGAGGAATAAATCTCAGAAAGAATTTAATTAAGCAAGGATTAAACAACTAGGAAAATCAAACCCAGCGAGTCCTCCCTGCAAATGATTCTACCTCACAAACATATCTTATATCCATGTCCTTCATTCATTTAGTGTCTAAATCAGCACCACATTTCACCAGTGAGGTGGGAATTGCCTTTTCCACAGTCTCCTAGATTCCAGTTACGCACCTGGGCCTCCCTTATGTTCATGTCAGTCACTATTAATCATGTAGGGATTCCTAGTTACCCTGAGGTGAATCCAATGGCTGTGAGTATAAAACACACACTCCTTGTTCCTCTTTAGTTTCCTGTGTACCCAGTGTGCTCTCCTCTCTTTCCAGTGATTCTCCCCATCTCATTCCCAGCGTTTCAGGCAGAGCCTCTTCCTTCCACATAAGATTGTTTTCACCTTTGTGCCTTCAAGGCTGACAGCTGTGTGCGGAAAATCCTTCCGCCAGTCTTCCAGGGATTCAATCCATCTTTTTCATTAATGTCACAAATATCTGATTAGTGAGACCTTCTCTGTCATCCAAAATTATACACTCAGCATTATCTATTATTTATTTTAAATTCTGGCTGGGCACAGTGGCTCACACCTGTAATCCCAGTACTTTGGGAGGCTGAGATGGTCAGATCACTTGAGGTTGGGAGTTTCAGACAAGCTTGGCCAACATGGTGAAACATCCTCTCTACAAAAAATATACAAACAGAATTAGCCGGGCGTGGTCGTGGTTGCCTGTAATCCCAGCTACTCGAGAGGCTGAGGCAGGAGAATCACTTGAACCCAGGAGGCACAGGTTGCAGTGAGCAGAGATGGTGCCACTGCACTGTAGCCTGGAAGACAGAGGGAGACTCCGTCTCGATAAACAAACGAACAAGCAAATAGATTTCTTGCACAGATGCTTTCCAATGGATCATTCATTTATTGGTACACTTGTGCATTCATTTTCTGCCCTCCCATTTAACCATCTGCAATATCAGTGTCCCAAGAGCAGAGGCCAAATGCATCTTGTTTCCTGTTTGTGGAAGGCAGGAGAACGCTGTCCCACTCCAAAATGTCCCTGTCCTAGCCTCCATAGCTTGTGAATATGTTATTTTACATGGAAAGGAGGAATGAAGATTGCAGACAGAATTACGGTTGCTAATCAGCTGAACTTAAGACAAGGGTATCCTGGATGATTTCAGGGAGATTATGATGGATTTTCATCTTGGTGAACCCAATAGAATCCCCAAGTTTTCCAAAGATGAAGAAGAAGGGAGAGCAGCATTCAGAGAAAGAAGTGTGGTAAGGAAGAAGGGTCTGAGTGATGCCATGTGAGATGTGACCAGTCTTTGTGGGTTTTGAGGAAGGAGGAAGGGCACCAGGAGCCAAGGGATGTGGGAGCCTTTAGAAGCTGGGACAAGTGAGAAGCAAATTCTTGCCTGGAACCTTCAGAAGGAAGGCAGCCTTGCTGTCACCTGATTTTAGCCCAGTAAGATGCATTTCATCCTTTGAGCTACAGCACTGTAAGATAATTAAAAAACCATTTTGTTTTCACCCACGAATCTTGTGGAAATTTGTTATGGCAACAGTAGGAAAGGATTCCAGCTGCACAGCCTGAGCATGGGGCCATGGCTGAATGAGTCAGTGAGTCGAAGTGTGCGTGCATAAGCTCTGTTCTCTGTTACTGCAAGGCTCTTGCTCTGCTGAGTCAGCCAGGGTTGCCTCATGACCAACAGGAGCTCATTCTTTGGCAAGTGGAACTTCTCTAAAACCCCTGGCCCTCATCAGATGTTCCCTTCCCTTCCCTCTGTCAAGCCCCCAGGAATTTATCCTCCAGTTAGGAATGCAGGGAGAACAAGCACTGTATTTTTCCTGAGAAGGATGTCAGATAGGCAGTCATTCTTCTAGCTTGTAGGAGGTCTCATCTCCATAAAATTAGAGATTAAGAGATTTCACTGAGCCCTGTGTTGGGCCCAGATCCCTTTCACTGTTGGAGTATCTGGAGTTCAGAGATGGTGGAAGACAGGCCCACAATGTCAGAGCTGCGAGATGCTGAGTCAACGCCTGAATCCAAGGCTTCCAACTCCCCAGGTTCCCAAAAGCAGATATAAGAGGGTTCTGTACTCACCAGTTTTGGAACTTGGTTCAGTGGGTGAAGGCCAACCATTTGAAGAGTTCCCTAGAACACGAGACAGGAGAGAGGTGAGGAAATGAGGCTGCCTGTCCTCTACTCAATGGAAATATTTGAGGTTGGTTCATGGCCAACACTCTGTTATTTAATATTGGGCCCTGGGAATCCTGGGATCCTTTTCTCCATAATGTTTGTATGTGATGCCCACTGTCTTGAGAGTTCAAGGTATAAAAAGAAAACAGGAGCATCACTCTACCTGATCTAAAAATATGTTACAGAGCTTTAGTAAGCAAAACAGCATGGCATTGGCATAAAGAAAGGCACATAGAACAACGGAGCAGAATTAAGAACACAGATATAATCCATGCATTTACATCCAATGGTTTTTTTTTTTTTTTTTTTCTCTTTTGAGACGGAATCTCGCTCTGTCACCCAGGTTGGAGTGCAGAGGTGCAATCTCGGTTCACTGCAACCTCAGCCTCCTGGGTTCAATCAATTCTTTTGCCTCAAACTCCTGAGTAGTGGTATTACAGGCGCTGACCACCATGCTCAGCTAATTTTTGTATTTTTAGTACAGACGATGTTTCACCATGTTGGCCAGGCTGATCTTGAACTCTTGGCCTCAGGTGATCCACCTGCCTCGGCCTCCCAAAGTGCTGGAATTGCAGGTGTGAACCACCGTGCCCAGCCCATCCGATGGACTTTGACAAAGGTGCCAAGAACTTACAATCAGGAAAGGACAGACTTTTTAGTAAACCATGCAGGGAAAACTGGATATCTACATGCAGAGGAATGAAACTGCACCTCTACCTCTCACCATACACAAAAATCAAATGAAAATGGATTAAAGATGTGAGTCTAAGGCTGAACCTATGAAACACATAGTAGAAAGTCTTGGGGAAATGCTCCAGGACATTTGTCTGAGGAAAGACATTTTGTTTAAAACCTTAAAAACACAAGTAATCAAAGCAAAAAATAGACCATTGGGATTACATCAAACTAAGCAGCTTCTGCACCGCTAACCATTAACCAACAAAGTGAAGAGACAACCCACAGATTGGGAGCAAATATGTGCAAACTATGCATCTGAGACGGGATTAATAACTAGAAATATGAGAAGCTTAAACAACTCAATAAAACAAATGATTTAATTAAAAAGGAGCAAAAGACCTGAAATTTCCCCGCATATGAAAAAGTGCTCAGTATCACTTATCATTAGAAAAATGCAAATTAAAATCAAAGTGAGTTGTCATCTCACCCCATTAAAATGGCTTTTAGGCCGGGCGTGGTGGCTCACGTCTATCATCCTAGCACTTTGAGAGCCTGAGGTGGGCGAATCACCTGAGGTTGGGAGTTTGAGACCAGCCTGACCCACGTGGAGAAACACTGTTTCTACTAAAAATGCAAAAATTAGCCAGGCATGGTGGCGCATTCCTGTAATCCCAGCTATTCGGGAGGCTGAGGCAGGAGGATCACTTGAACCCGGGAGGTGGAGGTTGCAGTGAGCCGAGATCGTGCCACTGCACTCCAGCCTGGGTGACAAGAGCAAAACTCCATCTCAAAATAAATAAAATAAAATAAAATAAAATAAAATAAAATAAAATAAAATGGCTTTTAGCTGCAAGACAGGCAAAACAAATGCTGGCAAGGTGGTAGAGAAAGGAGAACCCTGGTACCCTGTTGGTAGGAATGTAAATTAGTACAGCCATTACGGAGAAAAGTATGGAAGTCCTTTAAATAACTAAAAAGAAATTGGGCACAGTGGCTCCCACCTGTAATCCCAGCACTTTGCGAGACTGAGGCAGGCGCCTCACTTGAGGTCTTGAGTTTGAAAGCAGCCTGGCCAACATGGGGAAACCCCATCTGTACTAAAAAGTACAAAAAGTAGCCAGGCATGGTGGCATGCACCTGTAATCCCAGCTACTAGGGAGGCTGAGGCAGGAAAATCGTTTGAACCCAGGAGATGGAGGTTGCAATGAGGCAAGATCACATCACTTGAACTCCAGCCTGGGCACAGAGGGAAACTGTCTCAAAAACCAAAACCAAAACAACAAACGAAAAACTAAAAAGAGAACTTTCATAGTATCTAGCAATTTCACTACTGGGTTTATATCCAAAGGAAAGGAAATCAGTATATCGAAGTAATATCTGCGCTCGTATGATTGGTCCAGCACTGTTCACAGTAGCCAAGACATGGAGACAACCTACCTGCCCATCAGTGGGTGAACGGATAGAGAGAATGTAGTACATACACACAGTGGAGACTACTCATCCATAGAGACAGTAACACCCTGACATTTGCAGCCACATGGATGGAACTGGAGGTCATTACAAAGATTCCCATTTCTCACCCATAGGCGGGAGATAAAAGGTGATCTCATGAAGGTAGAGAGTAGAATGGTGGCTACCAGAGGCCCGGAAGAAAAGGGAGGAGGGTTAAAAATATACATATATATGCACACACATATATATACACATATACACACACACATATATATATACACATATACACACGCACATATATACACATATATGTATATACACACACACACATAAATATATAAATGTATTTATGACCACTTGACTTTACACTTAAAAATGGTAAAGGTGGCTGGGCGTGGTGGCTCACACCTGTAATCCCAGCACTTTGGGAGGCCGAGGCTGGCGGATCACGTGGTCAGGAGTTCGAGACCAACCCGACCAATATGGTGAAACCCTGTCTCTACTAAAAATACAAAAAGTAGCCTGGCCTGGTGGTGCACGCCTGTAGTAGCGGCTACTCAGGTGGCTGAGGCAGGAGAATTGCTTGAACCCAGGAGGCGGAGGTTGCAGTGAGCCAAGATTGTGCCAGTGTACTCCAGCATAGGGGACAGAGGTAGACTCCGCCTCAAAAAAAAAAATTGTTAAAAGTGGTAAACTATATAGGTGTATTTAACCTCAATAAATAATTTTTCAGACAAAGAGGAAACAGTCCTAGGGTTTGCTGGTGATGATATGTCTCTGTGGGTGAGAGGCCGGGGTGGGCTTCTGGTGAATGGGTAAGGTTGAGGGGCCGAGGGAACCTCTGATCTCCCCAAACCGAGCCCAGTCTCCCTCCTCTGGGTCTGTCCTGACCGCTTTCTCCATCTGCCTGGGTGCCTGGAGCCCTGACCGCGGACAACCACGCAGGCCACGCAGGAGGGTTTGGAGGTGCCCTCTCTGCCATGCTGTGCCCTGATTCCCCCCTCGCACCCAGGCTTCGTCTTCTCTCTGCATCTGTCCATGCTTCTTTCCATCATCAGCAGGAAGCTCCTCAACTATGGCTCTAGGATCGTAAGACATGGGACAGGCATGGGCTTTCCTCACCTGTGACAGAAACGGGCAGTGGGTCACTCGGGTCTGACCACTCGAAGGGTGGGGCACGGAAAGAACCGAAGCATCTGTAGGTCCCTCCATGGGTCCCAGAGGGAAGTCGGCCTGGAACGTTCCATGGACACTGGGCACTGCAGGGAGCCTAAGTTCATGGGCCTCCCCCTCCCTGGATAGATGGTACATGTCAAAGGAGCGCCAGGAGCTGCAGGACAAGGTCACGTTCTCTCCTGCCTGAACCGTGGGGCCCGGCTGGGCTGAGAGAGAAGGTTTCTCATATTTACCTGGAAGGAGAAGAGGCAGTTTCCTCAGGGAGGTTCTTCCCTGTCCCAGCTCCCCTCACATCTGAGCTGAGAACTCCCTGCCCTGCTCTATGACCTAATGCTCTCTCTCACCCTCCACCCCATCTCTCTTCATGTCTGTTTCCTCCTTCCACCTTCTCTGTCTCTCTAGGTCTCTGACCTCACTTCCCCAGCCTGAGGTGCGTTTTCCCTTTTTGTATTGTTTTCTTCTCTCTGACCCTCCTTGGATTTGTTGACTTGATGTTACTTTTTATTAATTCTAAGTTTCTCACTTTGTGTCCTGTTCATAACTTTCTGCATATTTCTATATGTTATCTATTGATCTATTCAGCGTCTATCTATAAATTATCTGTCATGTATATCTATGTATCATCTATTTATCTCTCTATCAATTGTCTATCTATCCGTCAATCATCTATTATCTATATCTATGTATCATCTCTCTCTCTCTCTGATTTCTCTCTCTGCCTCTCTATCTCTCTCCAGGTATCATCTATTTATTTATCTTCATCATCGTCATCTCTATGTATCATCTATTAATCAATGAAACAAGCAATCATCATTTATGTATCTATAACCTATCTATTATCTGTCACCTAACTATTTATCATCTCTCTATATCTATCTATCCATCTATCATCTGTTTTTCTCTGCCTCTTGGTCTCTCTAGTTCTCTTTGGAATCTCTGTAATTCATCCGCACATCTCCCTTTCTCTGTCCTTGGGCCTCTCCCTCAGGACTCTAATTTTGGAGCTTTTCTCTGCTCCCTTCCATCATTCTCTCCACTTATCTGCCCTCTTTTCTCTTTATGTGTCTGTGAGTCTCTCAATCCCCTTCTTCTGGTTCATTCTCTGTGTGTTTATACCTTTGCTTTTGATGCCCCTGATTTCTCTCTATGTCTCTCAACAATCCTATCATATGTGGGATTATTTGGAATATGAGCCTCAGAATCCAGTGCGGGGACCCCAAGTTCACACGGCATACAGGGGTTGGTGTTCTGGGGCCACGATATCCTGGAACGATGACTCTCCCCTGCACACAAGGCAGAGGTGTCGGAATCAACACGGCATCTGTAGGTGCCACAAGGCCTGAGGCCACAGGGGCCAACTCAGGTCAGAAATGTGGGTGTCTTTCGGTTCTCCTGGTAGAAACACTTTGTGGAGGTAAAACAGAAATGAAACTTCTAACCTCTGCCAGGTCTCTGAACAAAGTCAACACGGAAGGACGCCTCTCTCTGGGACATGTCTGTGTGTCCGGGTGTCCCCTTTAACTCTTTCTCTCTTTTCTACCTCCTTTTATGGCCCCTGTGTCTGTCCTCTGTTATGACACCTGGTCTGTGCTTGTGTCTCCTGTTTCTCTGTCTCTGTTGGTACAGACCTCGCCAAGTCAGTCTCTCTCCATAAGAATCTCATGCACATTTTCCTTACAACCACCTGGGCCTCCAAGTCCAGGATCATTCACTCTGTGTCCCAGTGACAATGAGAAGAATGTCCGGTCACTCTCACCTGTGATCACGATCTCCAGGGGATCACTGGGAGCTGACAACACATAGGGGGAGTGAGTGACAGAACCGTAGCATTGGTAGGTCCCTGCCAGGGCAGGTGTCACTGGACTGATGGAGACATTGGCCTTGGAGCCCCCATCATGGAGCTCTCCGATGAGATGCAAGGGCTCCTCAAACTTCCCCACTCGGTGCAGAAGGAAGTGCTCAAACTTGATATCTGACCAGCACTGCAGGATGACCGTCTCTTCTGATTTCACCAGGGGACCTGGGAGGGCCAGGAGAGAAGGTTTTCTGTGGACTCCTAGGAAGAGAATTTGTGAGTTTAGAAGGCGTCTCTCTTTCTTTTTTCTTTTCTTTTTTTTTTTGAGACGGAGTCTCGCTCTGTCCCCCAGGCTGGAGTGCAGTGACCGGATCTTAGCTCACTGCAAGCTCCGCCTCCCGGGTTCACGCCATTCCCCTGCCTCAGCCTCCCGAGTAGCTGGGACTACAGACGCCCGCCACCTCGCCCGGCTAGTTTTTTGTATTTTTTAGTAGAGACGGGGTTTCACCGGATTAGCCAGGATGGTCTCGATCTCCTGACCTCGTGATCCACCTGGCCTCCCAAAGTGCTGGGATTACAGGCTTGAGCCACCGCGCCCGGCCGCATCTCTCTTTTTCATCTCATCCACAGGATCCGGAATGACTGAGGCTTCCCCTCCCTGGTGTCTGTCTCTCTCCTTCCTCTCTGTGTCTCCGTGTTCTTTTCTGTGCCCTTAACTCCTGGTGCAGGTCCTTCCATCTGTCTCCCTCCCTCTTCTCTGTCTCTCTGTCTCTAGTAGCCCCTGATTCCCTTCCCACTGGGCTCAGCCTCATGTCTTGGGCTGTTGTATCTGTTTCCCACTAATCTCTTTCCTGCTGTCTATGTGGGGGTGGAAGAGGAAACAGGACAGGCTGCATGTCCAGGCTCTTAGCAGCCTGGTTCAATCTCTTTCGGACACATTGGAGTCCTTGGCAGGACGTATGAACTGATCAGTAAGGCAGGCACCAGTGTCCACACTCCCTGTTCCTGGTGGTGACTGGGAGCCGCTTTTGCCATCTCTGTGCCTTCTCCATGGTGCCAGCTTCCATAGGGTGGTTCCTGGTGCTGGCTCGAGGACTATCAACCCCTCCCTATGTGGATCGAACCTGGTGATGGCATCAGCGTCCTGCCCTTGCTGATCTCGGGGTTGCCAACCTTCTCCTTGTTTGGCTTGTTTAATTAATTAATTAATTTTGGAGACAGAGTCTCACTCCTTCGCCCAGGCTGGAGTGAAGAGGTGTGGTCTCAGCTTACTCTGCCTCCTGGGTTTAAGCGATTCTCCTGCCTCAGCCTCCCGAGTCGCTAGGATTACATGTGCCTGTGACCACGCCTGGCTATCCTTGGGCCGTTTCTTAACTTGTCCATGACCTGGATTCCAGTGTTGGTTTCCTGTTGCCGCTGTAGAAAATTATCAGAAGCATGGCAGCAGGAGAAACACACTGACCCCTCCACTTCTGGAGACAGAAATTGGACCCTGTTTTTCCTGGGCTAAAATCAAGGCATCTGCAGGGCTGCGTTCCCTCTGGAGACTTGGGAGAATCAGTTCCTTGACTTTTCCAGACTCTATAGGTCACCTGCATTGGTGGCCCATGGGCTTCCTACACCTTCAAAGCGGATGGAGTCTCCCACGATGCTGCTCTAATCCCCACTCCCTTCATCCTTCTCCTCTCGTGTGGTCCCTTGTGATTACACTGAGCCCAGCAGGACAGTCCAGGCCGTCTCCCCATCTCAAGGTCAACTCATCAACAACCAGAGCTCCGTCTTCCCCTTCAGTCCCCTGCCCTATAGCATAAATAGTCACAGGCTCCAGGGATTAGAATGTAGCCATCATTGGGGACAGTTATTCTTCCCATCACAGCACCGATTTCCATGTATTCAATCCCCCTTTACCCCAAATAAAGTCAGGGCCTGAGTGACCAAATCCTGACGGACACCCCCAGCAGAAGCTCTGGGATTCGGGAGGTGGGACAAGGAGAAGCCCAGACAGGAGCCCTCTGACCTGTGACCATGATCGCCAGGGGGTTGCTGGGAGCCTACCACCCACTGGGGCAGTGCGGGTGTGAACCCCCACATCTGTAGGTCCCTGCATGTGTGGGATCAAAGTGCCATGAGGAAGCTGTTCCAGAATATTCTGTTGTAGGGCTCAGGGACAGGCACCCCGTCTTCCTTGTACGGACTGAACCTGTTAAACCCAAGATAAGAGTGACACCAAAGAGTCACGTCCTGGAGACATCATAGCACTGAGCCAGGCCGACAGCAAGGGCTTGTCCTGACCACCTTGGGGAGAAGGAGGCCCCGCCTTAGAGAGGAGGACTTCCCCACCCTCCGTGTGCTCAGAAGATTCTCCTCGCTTTCCACGTTTCTATGGCTCCTACCTCACCTGGGTGCCCAGGGCTAAAGGAAGGACCCATCCCGCAAAGACATGGTGTCTCTTTGCAACAAAGTGTTAGCTGAGAACTTTGAGCAAGTGCTGAGTAAGCGACTCCTAGATTTTAATACTGCAAGATTACTCACATAAAACGACACAAGGTAGACATGGGGTGGAGGGCATGTCCTTTGTGAATGGAATATCAGCCGATGCCTGAACGAAAATAAACAGCTGAGCCCCCATCAGCGGATTTGGAATGTCAGGGCCATGGCTGTGGTTTCCCCACCTCTTCTGGTAGAATGACAGCAGCCACACTGCAGCCCTGACCGTCATGGAAACACTGGAGGGTGTGAGTTACACCTTTGTCCTCAGAGGACCTGCTGTTCCTAGCACTTCCCCCCTCCACACCCCAGCTTTGAGCACCCCAGTCTCACCCTGGTCCCCACAGAACTTGACTCTGCCAAGGGAAAGACAGGCTGGGGAGGGCGAGGTCAGAACTGTGGGTTGAGTATCCGAGCGCCCCCTCTTCCTAATTGATGAGAGACTCCTGGACAGGACTTCCCTCCTGTTTCAGGAAAATCCTCTCAGGTGGGGAGATGACACCCTAAGGTTTGGGGAAGGACTCACCCGTGTGTGGACAGGCCCTCTGGACCAAGAAGAACCCTGGAAAGAAAGATCATGGTCGATGATCCATCTGCAGGAAAACTAGGCCTCCCTTGCTGCCCCCACTGGGCTGTGAGTCTTGGCAGCCAGGCTTTTCCTGGGCTGAAGGTAAACTCACACTTACTGCCTACCTGCCCCCAAGAACAGGGCTCTCAGCTGTGCAGAGACCCAGCCTCCAGGCCCAGATCTCCACTCCAGGCCCATATCTCCACTCTAGGCCCATATTTCCATCCCAGGCCCATATCTCCACCCTAGGCCCATATCTCCACTCCAGGCCCGTAACTCCACCTCTAGACCCATATCTCCACTCCTGGCCCAGGTCTCCACTCTTGGCCCAGATCTCCATGCCAGACCTGTGTCTCCACTGGCCCATATCTCCACTCCAAGCTCATATCTCCACTCCAGTCCCATATCTTCATTCCAGGCCCATATCTCCACTCCAGGCCCAAATCTCCACTCCAGGCCCATATCTCCACTCCAGGCTCATATCTCCACCCCAGGCCCATACCTCCACTCCAGGCTCATATTTCCACTCCAGGCTCATATCTCCACTCCTGGCCCATATCTCCACTCCAGGCCCAAATCTCCACTCCTGGCCCATATCTCCACTCCAGGCCCATATCTCCACTCCAGGCTTATATCTCCACTTCAGGCCCATATCGCCACTCCAGGCCCATCACTCCACCTCCAGGCCCGTATATCCACTCCAGGCCAAGATCTCCACTCCAGGACCATATCCCCACTCCAGGCCCAGATCTCCACTCCAGGCCGAGATCTCCTCTCCAGGCCCACATCTCCACTTCAGGCCCATAACTCCATCTCTAGACCCATATCTCCACCTCTAGGCCCAGATCTCCACTCCAGGCCCGTAACGCCACCTCTAGACCCGTATCTCCACCTCTAGGCCCATATCTCCACCTCCGGGCCCAGATCTCCACCCAGTGCTTCCTCCGTCGATTCCCTTCCAGTACTCACCAACACACGCCACGCTAACGACCATGAGCGACATGGTGCTGCCGGTTCAGACAGGCGGCTGCTCCCCAGCTCAGCTCAGCAGTGCACAGGATGTTATCTGGCGCCCTGCCCATGCAGTTGACGTGCTGACCACATCATGGGAGGGTGACGTACGCAGGCTCTTCCTACCTTGCATGATGCCCAGCAAGCCTCCAGCCAAGAGCAGAAAATGGCTTCCTGGAAATTATTGTGACTACAATTGCCACCTTGCTTCATTCACTATGACCAGCTCAAAACACATCTCAGATCCAATCTTTCGAACACAAGATGATGGAATTCTGGGTTACATTAAAGATTTTGATGTATTTTTGTTGTTTTTATCTGAAATTCAAACTCTTCTTCATGTGTAATGTGCAAAATATCTAACAGATACTATTAACATTATCAGAGTAATTGTGACAAAAAGTCAGTCTAATTTTCCTTCTTGAATTTCTAGTACTAAACCAGAAGGAGTGAAAATGATTTAAATTCCCAGTGAAGGATTATGCAGTTATTTATGCTCTTAGAATCCTACTTTATTAGCAAAAAACACAACATGTAAATTCTGGATTTTGTCGTTTTATCTAGAATTTGTCTCATGACCCAAGATTCCAGATTCCAAACTCATGGTTTGCTCTCTCTCTGTCTCTCTCCCTCCCTGGTTCGCTCTCTCTCTGTCTCTCTCCCTCCCTCATTTTAAATTTTACAGGAATATCCAGTAACAATACGATAGAAAATCAAGCTTCCCCCAGCACTTTGGGAGGCAGAGGTGGGTGGATCACTTGAGGTCGGCAGTTCAAGACCAGACTGGCCAACATGGTGCAACCCTGTCTCTGCTAAAAATACAAAAGTTAGTGGGGCTTGGTGGTGGGCACCTGTACTCCCAGCTACTCAAGCGGCCTAGGCACGAGAATTGCTTGAACCTGGGAGGCGGAGGTTGCAGTGAGCTGAGCTTGTGCCACGGAAATCTAGCTTGGGTGACAGAGGAAGAGTCTGTCGCAAGGAAAAAAAAAAATAGCAAACTAAATAACCTCTAATAACAAATCAGAGGACTCAGGTTACCAAATTTTAAGGGGTTGTATAAGTTTACATAAAGTGTAGCATCCTCATCAGAGGGGATACAGAGAGCCACTGGGCAGAAAAGACTGTCTAAAATACACCCTTGGATGCACAGTCCCTTTGCAGTTGACCCAGGCTGCCATGTGGTTTAAGGTGGAATCGAATTCTCAACAAATAACACAGGGCCATAGGGTTACACGTAGGAAAAAATGAATCTAAACTTATCCTCACACTATAAAAACACTTCTTATGTTTTATTTTGTTGTTGTAAATTTTTTATGCTTTATTTTTAAAATTGACAAATAAGAATTATATACAGTCGTCCTTCACTATTCCTGGGTGATTGGTTCCAGGATCCCCATTCAGAGACCAAAATCTGCAGATCCTCAAGCCTCTTGCGTGAAATGGCACAGTGAAGCTGGGCGTGGTGGCTCACGCCTGTAATCCCAGCACTCTGGGAGGCTGAGTTGGGTGGATCACGAGGTCAGGAGTTCGAGACCAGCCTGTCCAACATACTGAAACCACGTCTCTACTAAAAATACAAAAATATTTATCTGTGCATGGTGGCACATGCCTGTAATCCTTGCTACTGGGGAGGCTGAGGCAAAAGAATCACTAGAACCTGGGAGGCGGAGGTTGCAGTGAGCTGAGATTGCGCCACTGCACTCCAGCCTGGGTGAGAGAGTGAGACTCCGTCTCAAAAAAAAAAAAAAAAAAAAAAAAAAAGCATACTAATTGCATATAACCCATGCACATCCTCCTGTATACATGAAATCATCTCTGGATTACTTATAATTCCTGACACAGCCTACACCCCACTCCATTTGTGTTCATTCAACATGGTTTTTTGGTTTTTGAACTTCGGGGATTTTTTTCCCCAAAATATTTTTGATTTATAGCTGGTTCAATAAACACCTGTAAACCCCACAGATCTGGAGGAGCGACTGTGTATTTATGGTATGAAAGATGATGTGTGGACGTGTGTCCCCATGGAGATGAGACTAACAAGGCCTATGACTCTACAAATGTTTCATCTTGGAATGGCTCTGCCAGCTTTCCAGGTCTGCAGAGGGTAAGAATATCACTTGTTCATCTGATTCACGATCCCTGGATCCTCCCATGAGCTGCATCTTTGGACGGAAATTGGAGTCCCAGAGACAAATCAGGCTCCACCTGCTTCCAGAAGCTCAGATTCCAGGGATGAGAACCCAGTGGAGGACAGATGGGGCTATATGGACATAGTAATGATAACACTGGAAACTTTTGGCAAGAAAAGAGTCACATTACTGAAACCATGAGGGTAGACATGTTTATTTGAAGAAGAGGCAACTACATTGAAATTATTTTTAAAAATTTATAAGTTTCACTGCTGACAGAAGGCTGAAAGATAGTCTGGGGGGAGGTGGAACAGCATGAGGGAAGGTGGAACAGCACGTGTCTAAGTGCCGTGTTAAGAGGGAGCCTCTCGTATATTTGGAATTGTGAGTTCCTCAGTGTGACTGCAGCCTCCAGTAGGACTAGGAAGTAAGCCAGTAGGTTGGAGAGGTGGGCAGGGATCAAGTGAAGTGGAGAATTGTGGGCTAAGCAAGGGAGTGTGTTTTCTTTCCAGCAGGCAGTGAGGACCTTAGACATTGGCAAGCAAGAGAGAGGCACGTTCAGATTCGTGGTGTGAGGAAGAGCGATGTCCTAAGATGCAGAGTCGCGCCTTCAGATTCCTGCTGCTGGTACATTGGAACTGGCAAGCTGGGTTTGAGACAGGGCTGTTGTCTCCCTGGAGGACCCCCTCAAGGCCTGACTCTGGTGCTCACGGGCAGGAGACAATGATCTGGGCTCAGCATTTGGAAGTTCTATGTACACGCTGGTATCTGTTGGGGGTCTCTTGGGCCTCTGAGAAGGGCGAGTGATTTTTCTCTGAGTGAAAACGCGGTGATCCAACTGTGCGTATGTCACCTCCTGAGGGTCTGGTTCATCAGAGTCCTGGAGAGAGGGAAATGTTGAGTGAAGGAGGGACTCACATTCTTCAGGACTATTAGGGAATAAGACTATATCCACGAGGCTGGGGCGAGGAGGACCTACCTCCCTGTTCACTGTTCTGTCGCCAGCAGGCTCTTGGTCCATTACAGCAGCGTCTGTAGGAGACAAAAGTCATCAAAACAGCTGAGAAGGCACGTCTGGGTCCTCATTTCATGTGCAGAGCCCAACACACAGGGGGAGACTGTAGGTGCCTGAGGTCCCTCAGCTGCCAACAGCCAGACTCAGACATTCTGTCTCTCTGAGCTCAAGGACTCATCCCATGAAGAGCTGTCAGTTCCCATCCCAGTGATTCTGCCTCCCACTTTCTGCCTATCATGGAACCTTCTCCTGGATGTCAGTGGCTGCAGGGACATGAGGATACAGTTGAGAATCAGGCAATGGTCTGTGAGCTGAAGGCAGGGACAGGGTGTCTGGTGCTCTCTCTAGAAATCCCTGCCTCTGTGGCTCCTGCCTTGGGCCAGAGACCATCCTGCCGGTGAGAAACACACACCTGCGTGCTCCCATCCCGCTTCCCCCCACGGCCCTGAGGTCTGTGGCCTCTGCTTCGTGAGACTTACTCTTTTTGTTGGAGCACCAGCGATGCAGGAGAAAGAAGAAGAGGATGGTGAAGGGGATGATGACCACTGAGGTCCCAATCAGAACATGCAGGTGTCTGGGGATACCTGGAGGAAGACGAGACACCAATAAGAAGCTAATCATAGTAGTTCCTCTCTATGGATTGTCTCGCATTTCTTGATTGACAGGTAGCCATATACAACGTCTCTTTAGGACAAACAGCCAGATAGCGGGAGACCCAGCTTTCTCCTCCTCTCTCAGTTATAGCTCTTATAGTAACCATAGAACGTGCTGAGGATACCACTGCTTTAGTTTAGATGTTTGACCCCTTGAAACCTCACATTGAAATTTAACCCCCAGTGTGGAGGGTTGGGCCTCTTGGGAGGTGTTTGGGTCATGGAGGTGGATCCATCGTGAATAGATCAATGCTGTCCCAAGGAGACAGGGTTAGCAAGTTCTCCCTCTATTAGTTCCTGGAGAGCTGGTTGTTAAAAAGAGCTTGGAAACTCCATCGCTCCCTCTTCCCCTTGCTCCCTCTCTTGCTGTGTGATCTCTGTGGTCTCTGCACACACAGACCCTCCTTCCTTTCTGCCAGAGTGGGAGCAGCCTGAGGCCATCAGAAGAAATAGATGCTGGTTCCATGCTTCTAGTACAGCCTGCAGAACTGTGAGGCAAACAAATCTCATTTCTTTAGAAGTTACCCAGGCTCAAGTGTTCTTTTATAGCCTCAAAAATGGACTAAGACATCGTGAGATCAGGAGGAACGTCCCACAACAGCCTGGGCTGTCTTCCTGTTCTTCCCAGAGGAGGACGTCATGCAGTGCTTTAGCTCAGTGCTTCCTGTGGCTCCAGGGTACAAAACCCAGGCCGGGCTGCTTTGTGGGTTCCCCCAGCTGCAGTACAAATGGGGTGACTCCATATGTTCCGAGCAGCTTTTCTGAGCCTTGGGGGACTGGCTTACATCGAAATATAGGCTTCTGTTGTCAGTTGCTGCTTATGTGTTAGTAATGAACCTGCCTATGTCATGTATTCTCTGTGTGTTCTGTCTCCCTGGAGTGACGGTGAGGGATAGAAACTGGCATAGCCCCAGGTGCAGTACAGGAGGTGTTTAGAGTCTTCTCTGGGAAGACTGGACTGGGATTGATATACAGTGAATGTGCTTTACAATTTCTACAGCCACAACCCTCTTGACTCAAAAAAATTACATTCTCCAAGAAATGAAATAAAAAGTGAAATCAAGATCAGAAAAGGTGAAGTAAATCTGACTTAAATCAAACAGCCATGAAATAATGATGCAGCCCAGGAATAACGTGCTACTTTTTGTGATCTCCTGAGACATTTTTAAGCTGTTGTTCTACCTGAGAGGCA